AGAGAGAGAGAGAGAGAGAGAGAGAGAGAGAGAGAGAGAGAGAGAGAGAGAGAAACAAGAGAGGGGCAGGGTCAGTACAGACCGGTCCGAAGCTGTTTGCAATTAGAGCAGTTCCTCCAGACGAGGGCGGCAGCCTGACCAGGTTACCGACAATTTTACAGTCACCGAGTGCAGGAAGAAAAGCAAGTGTAGGAGAAGGCAAACTTCAGATTTACTGTAGCAACACCTGTACTTTTCCTCACACTGAAGGCGTAGTACTTTAGTAAAGCTTTACAGACGTTCATTAATGGCCAAAAATATTCAGCAGCTAAAGCGCCGGTACAAGAACAGAATAAATTTTCTAGAAAAGTAGAATTATTTTATTAGATGGGTTTTCACTCTTATACTGGATTTTGAATCTCTATCTGCTAAAAGCATAAGATGGAAAAGCAAAGGTCCCATCTCATACCTTTACAAAGACTACTAGCCCGCAAATGGTAACACTTTCTGTACAATAGCATTAATGCAGTGGCACCGTTAGAACGACTGAACCTATTTCGGATCAGATTTGCCACGAAGGGAGGGACCGGTGGTCCATTTTATCCTTTACATACTGCAATATTATGAGGTCCGTAACTCCCACAATTTTGGAGATATGGCAGATTGAGTAGAGACGTGATTTTGTTCCAAAACAGAGACATGCATATCAGTGAAAACAAACTGTAACAACGCCTCTAAAAATCACTCCTCACATAACAATTGGTTGGGTATTCGCGAACACGTTTTTCACCCACTCCCCACGCAGAACAGGTGTTATCGAAAAACTATTATTGCTTGAAAACAATTATTTTAGAAGATTCTCCACACCGCAAAAACGGCTGTATAACGATTCACTCCACTTCACGGTCACCCGACGCAAACAGCACGATGGTACAAATTCAAAAGACAAAAGAGAAGGCCCTCCTTACGTATTTGATTGCAACGGTATGAACTCACCCTTCTTCATACTGGCGTATCGACACGTTAGACTGAAAGGCACGCAGTTCAGCCACCCGTTCCAAGACTCACGCAGTTTTTATCTCTAGAACGGTAAACTGCGTGTCTTTGGAGACGCGCGGCTGAACTGCGTCAGTCTTGGTACGGGCAGCTGAACTGCGTGCCTTTCAGTCTAAGGTATCAAGAATCAGAAAACGCGTAAGCGGGGCATACAGAAATCAGCAAGATAAAAATAAAAATGTTCATAATACTTAAGTGTGCACGAAACTACGGACGGTTGATCCGAATTAGGTAGTGATACAAAATAGGTTAGTCGTTCTAAAAAGTCTTATATAGGATCTTTGTTTTCCCAGTTTCATAGGGTAGCGCGACTTTATCACGAAGTGTGTGGCACCTGCCAGCGGCAACAAGCTCCTCCATGAGTAATGCCGATCGGAGTCCATGGTGGGCGAGAACAGAGAAATGACGGTCACGCAGGGTCTACAGGAGCACCCGACAAGGGAGAGAGGGAAAGTAGGGGGGGGGGGGTGCTTAACCAGCGATCGCTTACAGTGCAGCGGTCAGCACGCTCAGCTCGTTCAGTCTCTGCAATATGAAGAACAGGGTAAACTAGAAGGTACTTCCGCTGCACCCGTCACGATTTTACACAGAGTTCGAAGAACTCTGAAAATGCAGGGGTCACGTGCGTCGCTCTTAGAAGGGTGACGCAGACAATCTAAAATTATTATTACTTGAATGTAACGAAGAAAACAAACATTCGCTTTAATCAGTGGGCAACGTCAATCGCTCTTTTAAGACAAGACACATGACTCCGGCAATGCAAGTGAACATTCCAGTGGTTGATCGAGTTTTTTTTTTTTTTTTTTGGAATGTATTAAAATACCTATCAGGTATTGAAAACTTGAATTGGTATTGGATGTTTCTTTACTTTTTTGTAAATTGTTGTGCAATTGACTCTAAACGGCCAAAGAAATTAGCCAGGGTTCCTACTGACATAAGATTGGCTAAGGTTCTACACACAATCTAATAAGTCACCTCTAGCCTCTAAGTGTCAGTGTATTACATCGCCTTTTCTGCTAAATGAGGTGCACTAGTTTATAGATGGATTACCGGAGCGATTATACGATAGTAGCGTCAGCCAGGATGCGTGAGACCAACGCTAACGTCGGACTCAATAAATTAAAGTACCATGTTCGATTTAAATTCTGCCTTTGAATTAAATTAAGTCATAATTGGCGAAGGTCTGTATAAACAGCGATTGCGTTATCGCATTAGGAACTGACGAGGCACTGCAGCTGCGTTGCTGCAACCGCCGACTAAGGAAGGGCTCACTTAATTAACTCTCACTGCTGAAGTATCGAAGGATAGTTAATTGCGCTCCAAGTTTCCAAGCACTGGTATTTGTGCTCACGTTCTTGAAAGCGTGCCCTTTAAGACATTGTCGAATCGAAACTGAATCGAATCGAATCACGAACGATGACATGTACAATGCGTGCAAAACTGATGCTTGTCACCAAGGCTGCATACCATTGTTTTGCTACGCCCGGTGGGCGGGCGCCGGCGCACGCGCTCTGATGGGCTCAACCAATATTGACCTAGGGCACCCGCCCACCCCATCCACGGCCCAAGACCTTCGCGAGTCAAGAGGCCCGCACCCTGCAAGAAGACCCTCTCTTTAGAATTGTTGTTTTCCATCTTGTTCAATTGCCAATGTGGTGTGACCTTTATTGATGAGAATTCGTTGTAAGTCACTTTCTGAAAGTAAAGACGGTTAAACCCACGTTTCAACCACACGAAAATAGTTAGTTAGCACAGTACAGCAGGTTCGGTGTGGCCTCTTGTTTTGGGTAGTTACTCTATCGAACAATTTTATGGATTTTCCGAATTCACTTCTTACTACTTTAGGAAATCCTCAGAGGAAATTCCAGATTTTTAGTGATTATGAGGACTTCGCAACTACATTTCACGGATAAAACTTGGAACTATCTTTGACTACTTTTATTTCTTCACCTCCTTCCGTTCTCTCTTTCTCTCCGTCGCTGCCTCTCAATTGTCATTTAGCATGTCATAGTGTGCGAGAAAGTTAGACCCCACATAAGCGCAGCACTCCAACAATAAGATCAAAATGCAACGTCAAGATAGAGTTTGACACTCGAGTGTAATAGTAACGTAAGAACCGGGATCAATGGAGTCCTATCAAAGTAAGCCAAGCAGGCCGGGCCAACCTGCACACCCCCAATGCTCTCAATATGAGGACCCAGCAGGATTTTATTTTGGAGATTAAACATTTGTCTTGGCCGCAACGAAATACTGGAAGACGACGAACGACGACGAATGACAGGTGATGGTCTGAACACAACAACATACACCTCTTGGTTTTATGTTCGATAAAACGCACAAAAACCGTTGAAGGCCAAGAGGACGTTACAGGGTGCAACCCAGTCGAGACAATCGGGGCACCCTGTAAGACGGGTGGCCGTCGCCCGGCCCCCCAAAAAACAAAACAAGTGGATGATCAGATCAGAAAAACACACCTGACCCACCCAGGTCCCCGAAAAGTTACGCCGGGAGAGAAGACCCACGTGGTCCCGGGCGGAAGGAGGAGGAGGGCGGGCAGCGCAACAAGGGGCGTACGGGCCCCGGGCCCCTCCACCCCGCCCCGCACCCCCGAGGGGTCCGGGCTGGCACCGCTCGTGGTTCGGTATAAAGGACCGGGGCGGGGAGGGTCCGTTACTCAGTCCCCAGCAGCACATCACCGACACAACATGGCGTGCAAGGTACGATGCGAGCAACGTAACGATATGAAGCATAAAAAAAAGTATTTCTTAATCATTTATTTTTCGATCATTATTATAATTTGACTTTTCATTTAACAGTTCATCGTTCTCGCGGCGCTCGCCTCTATGGCCCACGGCGGAGCCATCGGCGTGGCCACCCCCGTCGCCACCCAGTACACAACCTACGCCCACGCCCCGGTAGCCGTCGCCCACGCCACCCCCGTTGTGCAGAAGACCGTCGATTACGACCCCAACCCCAGCTACTCTTTCGAGTACTCGGTGTCGGACAGCCACACCGGCGACGAGAAGAGCCAGCACGAGAGCCGCCAGGGCGACGTCGTCCAGGGCTCCTACTCCCTCAACGAGCCCGACGGCACCCGCCGCACCGTCGACTACACCGCCGACCCCGTCAACGGCTTCAACGCCGTCGTCCACAAGGAGGCCAGCCACGTTAAGGCCGCAGTGCAGACCTACGCTGCCGCCGCTCCGGTCGTCCACGCCGTCCACGCCACCCCCGCCGTGCACACCTACGCCGCTGCTCACCCTGTCGCTTCCTACGCCTCTGCACCCCTCGTCCACAGCACGCCAGCAGTCCAGACGTACGCTGCTGCAGCGCCCGTCGTCCACGCCACCCCTGCCGTGCAGACCTACTCCGCTGCTCACCCCGTCGCCACCTACGCCGCTGCTCACCCTGTCGCCACATACTGCTCACCCCGTCGCTACCTACGCTGCTGCTCACCCCGTCGCTACCTACTCCGCTGCTCACCCCGTCGCCACCTACGCCGCTGCTCACCCTGTCGCCACATACGCAGCTGCTCACCCCGTCGCTACCTACGCTGCTGCTCACCCCGTCGCTACCTACTCCGCAGCTCACCCCGTCGCTACCTACGCCGCAGCTCACCCCGTCGCTACCTACGCAGCAGCACCTGTCGTCCACAGTGCCCCTGCTTTCCAGACATACGCTGCTGCCCACCCCGTAGCCCACGCCACGTACGCCGCTGCCCCCGTAGCCCACGCCACGTACGCCGCCGCCCCCGTAGCCCACGCCACGTACGCTGCTGCACCTCTGGCAGCTTACTCCGCCACCCCTGTCGCTCACCACACATATGCCACCTACGAGCATGCCGACCACATTGAGCTCCATCATTAAGTCTGTGTGAGTACAGCTTAAAGTTCGTATGACTGATATGCAGACTGATAACTCTGTAATAGTTTGTTTTCAATAAACATCGCTATTTTTGTTAAATCTGTTGATCTGTGTGCATGTATTTGCACAATCCAATGCAGCTTATTGATCTGATCCGCGACGTAAGACATGCGCAAAACACAAAACAGTGCAATCACCCTCACTCTACCAATCAAACTTGAAAATTAAAATGGCAGATAGGTGCTTAACTATTCACACTTTGAAATGCAAGACTAACAATTCATACAGTTAAAATTGCAGAATTGTAGGGCTAGTGTTGTTCTTTGTGAGTTACAAAATTGTGGAGTTATAAGTCCCCGACAAATGCTGTGAGCATGTCAAAAATGTGGGCCGGAAGGCCCTATTTCCGTATATACTCCTGTTAACTCGCTCGGATGTGAGCGCCGCAGGCCTAGCTATATGTGCGCCAGGCGCATCAGAGTAACAGTGTTTCGTGAGATATCGCGAAGCCTGTTACGCAAGACTTGGTCTGGCGTACATATAACTAGTCGTAAATTTACGACACTTATGTAGTTGATTTTTTTCAGCAGCTTAGCTTGCACATAACAGCCAATGTCGTTGCCCAACGACCAATTACGAGACTGGCTGTTTATACGCAAGATGCGCCGGCAAATTTAACTGCTGTGAAAAACTGTTGCACCGGGTACAGAAAAAGTTTCCATTGAAGATATGTCGTACAATTATAGCTGTGCTTATTGACTTGCAACCGAATGACGGGCAAGAGTGGGAAGTTTTTACATGTACGACTCGTTTTGTAAATGGCAAATTGCAGAATATATATTGTAGATGCGCAAACATATTTTTAACAGTGTGCAGTTACTGAAACTAAAGCATTTTGTAAAGTTAAAACTGTCGTCTATTAATACAACAATTAGGCAAAGCGAGTGGCGGTCACCAGACACTGGATCTATCTGCCTATACTATCCCATACTATCACCCGGAAAATCGAACAATCACGACTAATATACAACTTCCTTCCTTGCTTCTGCGGTCAAGTGCAGCAGACACGGCCCGCGGTGCTCACGGCCGCATCGAGCGCGCTCCACGACGTGCGCCACAATTTACTGAGTGAGCGCTTGCTCCCCTACCCTGCGAACCATTCACAACTCACACGACAAGCCCATTCATTCCCGCCGAGCGGTCGGGCACACAGTCAAAAGCATGTGACAACAGTCATCTCTTCGCATTCGATCGAAACTATTCTCGATGCGCAGCCGAACCTCTATCCTTCGTTACAGTTCGGTTCAACTACACCCAGAAGGAAAGCAAGTTCTTGTTTCAAATCCAGTGCAGCACTATGGTAAGGAGACTTTGAATTGAAGATCCGTTGGAACTTATCGGGCCTTCACGACAAGTACCTGGAGTCGGTACAGAATTCTGCATCCTCTAGGAATCGAATTTTCGGCCACGACAAGACAGAAGCCGGGCTCGGCGCCCCCCGGAAAAATAATTACGACCCATATACCCTGCTTTTTTTCCTCAAAGCGTTCCTGATGCGCGGATTCCTGATTTAAAGTACTCAAGTAGTAAAGTTTCAAAATCAACAAAAATGGTACGAAGTCACTTCACTACTGCGAGCACTCACTCGCAGTCATCGGTGGGCAGCATCACAGGTATCGCCACGTGCAATCGATTCGAATTCACACGCTAGTTTTCTCTGCTTCACGCGTCAAGTCCCCTGATCCGCTAACAATGTGAGAGCCCGCCGAACACGATATGGCGGCGGCTCACACATGATAGTCGCTTAAACCTGCCCCGTCGCGTTGCATTGTTGCAACACGAGCAGAGTTGATTCATTGGAACGAATCTCAAAAGCGCTGCCCGACCTGCGCGTGCCCCACCCCGACAGGCTACGCCCGAAAATGCTCCATTTTGGCCCACACACTCCGCACTAGAGCGACAAGGACAGTCGCACACCTCCAGACGCGGCTCTGGACGGCGAGACGCACTGCTGCGACCCCAGCATCTCTGCCCCCACAGTCGACACAGATTCAGATTATCTTGTGCTTGTCAATCTCTCGCTCGCTAATTTTACGCCAAAAGAGCAGAGCAAAATAAAAAGCTGGTGACTAATAATAGGCAAGTGCCTTCCTGGCCGATTACTGAATTCAAATCTATTCCAAATGAGCATGAAACGAACGGTGCCATATGGCACCTTTTAAGGGGACTCTTACAATAACGGCACTACAGTCATTGCCGAAAATAGCGAAGAGTGCACTCAAATAATCTAGTTTGGCCTGGAACCAGCCCTGGCATTTTCATAAACTGTCATTGGATTACTTGATGCGCATTTATGTGTGTTTCTGTTTCGTGGAGAGATGCTACAAAAAAAGTAGCGCCTGCAGCGCGCTGATGAGCGAACATAGCAGCACAAGACGAAATTCTTTTTCTGCACAGAAAACATATTATTTCCTTGGAGGCTGTGGGGTCCGTTTTACAGGAGTGTCTTCTGTTTGTGAGATCGTTAGCATTTTAATTTTAGGGTTATGGCACACGCAAAAATCAAGAAAAAAACATATGCTATACTAGTGTGGTAGTGAGAGACAGAGAAAGACTTAAGATAATTACAAGGTCTATCCAGACTGGGAACCGGTGGTCTAGTTCTAGCCAAGACACCAGACGCCGTGGGCGCAGCAGCCTGCGGACCCATTACAGACAAAATAAAAAGCTAGTGCTTCTAGCACAGGACCTGCGAGTGCAATCGCTAGCGCACATGGTATTCGCATTTACCTGGCTATTATACAAAAACATATATTTAATTTTATTTAATGTTCCCGTGAGATTTTTGTCATTTTTCTGACTTCCCCACCTGGCCGACAATGGCGGGTAGATAACTGCTACCCTTAAAAAAACCTGCCTCCCGAGAAGAACACGAAAACGAACACAAAAAGTGCATCTGCATTTGCACCAGAAAGGTGCGGGAAAGAGCTTCTCCAGCACCTGCCAGTCAATGAGCAAGATCGAAATGCCCGTCCAGCGGCAAGCGCGTGAGACTGCCCTGCACCGAAGGAGGGGGAATTTGACGAGTGTAACGCCCGCGGGCCTCTCGCGGGCGGTGACCCTGACATGGAACGCCCCAGAGCGTTGTGCACCGGGCTGACCGTGGCGCGGTGTGGCCAGGTGCGGAGGGGTGTGGCGGGGTGTGGCGGGGCGTGGCGGGGCGTGGTCGCGTCTGTTCGGCGAGCATTGGTCACTACCGGAGGCTCGCCTGCCAGCCAGACGGGAAACCTCAGCGAGGGGAACCACCATACCATGAGGTGACGGGTGGGGGCAATAGGGAGGCCTACCAGAAGGCTAGGACGAGGTGGGGCGTGGCATGCGGGGCAGGGTGGGGCAGGGTGGGGCAGGGTGTGGTTGGCATGGGTGTGACAAACGGAATATCGAGAGGAGGGAGGGGGTGGCATAGCTGAGTCCACCCCACCCAGGGCAACTTGACTGAGGTATAAAACTGAACGTCGCCCAACAGATCAGCACAGTCAGCTTCACACAGCACCACCATGGCATTCAAGGTGGGTTCCAGCGCCCGGCTCCATTGGATATACTCACAATCAGTGACAAAGTGATACAGTGGCAAAAGTGAAAATATAGTGCAGTGACAGCAACAACCTACGCACTCCAGGACTACTGTTGCTAAGTGATGAACGAGATTTTCAATTAGAGTGTATTTGTTCACAGTTCGTTGCCCTCGCCGCCCTCCTGGCTGTGGCTCACGCCGGAGTGGTGCCCACCGGCCCCGTGGCGTACGCCGCCCCCGCGGCCTACGCTCA